CACAATTGAGCAATGGTTATCCAAGCGTTTGGGTTAACACTGCTTGTGGGGAAGCAACAAAAGACGTATTAAAACGGTATGCTTCAATTCATTGGCGGCGCTGTATTGAAAACAAACTGCCCAAAAACAGCCTTGTCGTCTGGCTTGAATGATTTCAGATCTCACACACTCGTGGTTATTTGAATTGTTTGTATTTTGTTGATATGCCATAAGTTTTGTGACAAATCTTTAAAATATGTATGGGAATATGACAAGCACTGTCTCTTATACACATCTAGATGTGTATAAGAGACAGATATACTGTATATGTACCTTTGACGATTTATATTATATATATATACATGTATGTATATATATATATATATATATATATATATATATAATAAATTATGCATATATAGTATGTATACTTTGTAGTTGTCTCAGATATTATTATAGTCATTATTATGGATGGCACTGCTGTAATTCTTATGCAATGACTAACTTTCTAATTTGTGGTTGTCGATGTTTTTCCTATGCACTAATTGTCCCTGTTGTATGGATCTGTAATGAAACAATTCCATGTCATATTGAATTCCCAATTTACAATGCGAATGAGTAAAGGATCGACCACCATACGTACCAGAAGGGTTTTAATGAGTATGCCTATTAAAGTGCCTGCATTCCATACGGCGTGTAACATGTTCTGTCATCCAATTACGGCACAGCCCATGACAACACACGAATGTGCGAATTTCTTTTTGTCAGCTTTTTGTTACTAATCGGATGACGTTTTTTTTTTTTACTAATCACATGACGTGTACCATAAGGTGCAAGAATAATGCCATCACCAGGATAAAATTGTGTCAGATGTACGTTCTGTTTTTGGTAATTAAAAAAAAAAAAAAACTAAAACAACAATAAGAACGTACAACTAATATTTATATATTGGATCCTGGTGATTTTTTTTCTTCAATAAAATCGTGTCTATCAGCGCAAGTGACTCATTCCATTGTGCGCGTACAAATACGCACCACGCAAAGCTATTGGGTATACATAAAGTGAATTAGCAAGGACTGCGACATTTGACGTGCGTCGAGGCACGCGTAGTCGCGAGACGCTATAATTATTGGATTCCGGTGACATTGATGACCAATTGTGCCTCCACTTTAAACAAAACAATATTGTTTGCTTTGTTAGTTATTTCCATTGAAAATGGATATTTTGGTTGGTAATAAAACATTTGAGGATTTTCGTATGAGCTAGTATGATACTTTCGATATTCATGGCTTAAAGCAATACAATTATTGCACAACTTGATTTTAACAACTGACTTGTCTATACTGATCGCAAAACCTTCAATTACTACCTATTTTACGATTAATTAGCGAAAATCACTGAAATGAAAACATCCTGACTGAGATACAAGGATACGAAAGGGGAAATAGGCCTATCTACATCGTGTTGTTTCATTGATTGGTAAATTGGTGGTTTGTGAAAACTGGTGTAGCTTGTGGACAGGTTATTCTGAAGCCGCAAAAATAATGATACCATTAAGTTAAGGATCCTCAAGTTAAGGATGTTTGGGTAACAGAATTTTATAAAACTGTTTAAAAATTCCGGTATATTTATTATTTCAAAATGTTATAACTGTTTCTAGTACAAAGAAGCAGAAATAATAGAAATTTACTAAAATATTTCAATACAGTTTTACATGGAGAACTCCACGATCTATGAAAACAATTATTTTCAAAGCATTTTGTTTCGCGAGGGTGTACAGGTAATTGTTATCATCCAGGTACGCGAAAAAAAAACTACACAAAGCTGCGTCTAGACGCTACTTGAATTAGAAAACGCCCTCTTTTCTGAAGGTCAATCCCAATCAAAATACAATCAAATACTGTCAAAATAATATTGTACTTTGTGTACGTTTCAAAAGATCAGGAAAAAAAATGTGCCTCATGAGGGCGGTATTTAGAAGTGCACACGCATCATAAATGACCCCGCCCCTTGGATATTGTTGCTATGGTCCTACAAAAAGAAAGCGTAAAACACGTGCGTTTGTAGGACAACACGCACTGTTTCGATTGGTCAGTTGTTAAGTTTGATTGGCACTCTCCGAGAGATTCATTATAACAATGAGGGGCTTTTCTGTCATACTGTACTGTAGTAACTGTAAAGGCCTATTATAAATCGTTGTCAATGACACATGTCAATTAATTTGTTATTTGCAGATAAAGAAACTGTAACTAACAATCAGTATGCTATAATCACGTGATTATATGATGTCCTTTGCTAACACTGTATTTACATTTCTTTGATGATTAATATATAATTTAACAGCGCTAACAGCAATCTTGATTTATATTATATACTGTATATGTACACACATACATTATATATATATATATAAATATATATATATATATATATATATATCAATATATATATATATCAATATATAATTACTTATTAATAGCATCTCTTCAGAGATCTCATTGGTGACGTACACTAATTAGAGGGTTGACATATTTTGGAACAAATATAATTTATTTAAATGAATATTTCGTCCTCTTCCTAAGGACGTCATCAGCGTAATTGCTGTCTCTTATACACATCTAGATGTGTATAAGAATATATATAAAATTACTTATTAAAAGCATCTCTTCAGAGATATCATCTTGTCTTGAATTGCCAAGAAGAGGGCATATCACATTGATCTGTTATTTGGACTAGTGCTGTCTAGTACGCATGCGCATGAGTGCAAATGAATTAGGTGCTTCAAATGAATTTGAATTCCCAAAAAATGGCCTACTTGGTTATTGCCTTCTGCATAGATAGCAGAAGGTCCCGTGCTTAATTCCCTGTTGGGGGCACCTATTTTTTCACACTAGCAGATTCCTCTTTAACGTTATTTACAGCATTACCGCAAGACGATTTAGAGTTTATCTCTATTTATTTTTATATATTTACAGCATTACCACAAGACGATTTAGAGTTTATCTCTGTACCATTATTTACTTATAGCTTAAGTATTGTCTTTATTTTTTAAAATCTAATGTTTGAAAGAAATAAAATGTATAACATTGACACTCAACAAGTCAAATTCTGTTTAATTTGATTAAACAGAATTATATTGATAATTAATAACATAAAAAATATCAAACGACAAGTTTTTCAAATTCTAATTAATTTACTTTAATCCACTGAATTGATTTTCAAGACCAATCCTTGAGGAGGTAAGTACAGAAGTGAAGTGGTATTAGCTGGAAGAAGTGTTACCTCAGCTTTCCTTTGGCCTCAGTATCACTGTATTTGTACCTACTTTTTTGCTCAGCATTATTGGGAAGGGTGGCTGTCAGAGATGCATTACTGACAATACATTAAAGCCCCCTCAGCTTGGAAAGTATTTTAATGTCATTAAGCACCTGAAAAATATTCCTAATTACAATTACGTATTCACATACTAGCTGGTACTCATTTATACTTCTGGGTGGAGGGAGACAATCAAAGTATTATACCAGACCCCAGAATTTCACCACTATGCCCACTGGCATACTGGGGGGGGGGGGGTACTTTTTTTGTATAAAAGTGAAAAAAAATATTAGAATGATAGTAAATGACAAGGTAAATGTACTTCATATATCAAAAAGCATTGTCAAGAAAAGTTCACTATCTGAACAAAATTGTTTTTTTAAAATTTATAATTAGCTTCTACTAGCTTGATTTTGTACATATGAACTAGAATTTAATAGTACTCAGCACCCCAAAACCCCCCCACCCCACCCCCACCCCATTTCCGAAATCCTAAGTACGACACTGATGCCACACATGCGCGAGCAACATACACAAAGTATACACCTTGTTTGGAGGAAAGTGGCGCAGCATTAAGGCTCTTGATTTCCCATCAGGATGTCTGGGTTTTAAGTCTACTGTGGCTGGTGATTTTGGTCCTTGAGCAAGGCACTTTATCTGCATTGCTTCTCTCCACACAGGAGTTACAACAGATACCTGGTTGGGTTGCATGCTGCTGCACTCAATATGTCTGCAGCTATAAGATCTTAATCTTCTTAAGCACATGTACACCGAATGACCAAGGGTAATAATTACTGCAGGAAGAACCAGTTGCTGATCTTCTTGCAACATCCAGAATCTATAGTGTATTTCTATCTGTACCTCTTAAATGCCAGTATCAAAAATAGTCAAAGTGCTTCCCTGGTGGATTGCATAAAGTTCTCAAAATGTTGGCACCAAAAAAAGGGTGGTTACACCCCTTCCCCCACCCCAAGTTTTTAAATACTGTACAAAAATCTGTATCTCATTAATTGCTTCAGATTTTTTCCTCAAATATGCTTTTTGTGTCTTATAAAAATCAGGTACAGTACAACATATCAAAATATTATTTCCTCTGGAGCCTGGATTTAAGCACATGTAAACCAAATGACCAAGGTTAACAATTATTGCGCACTTGAACATTTATTAATATGAAATCTGTGCGTTAGAAATGCATAATCATTATATTATTATACAAATACAGACTGTATAAACGGATAACATTCAAAATTAATAAATAATATGTTAGAACTATCTTTAGGTAATAATATATGAATTTATTATATCAGGAAGACCAGTTACTGATCTTCTTGCAACATCCAGAATCTATAGGGTATTAATATCTGTTCCTGAAAGTGTTATGGCAAATATCAATAATTGTCAAAATGCTTTCCTAGTGGATTGTATACAGTTCTCAAAAGGTTGGCACCAATACAGTATTCTGACAAAATCAAACCCCTTCCATTTCTGATGTAGGAGTTGTATCAGAAACTATTCATATCTCAATGTCCTTGTTGAAATGCTCAACTATTTAAGTCTCCACAAGAATCGAAAAATTCTGATGCTGCACATCAGTATCGTTATGCTTACATTCAGTGGCATATCTAGAAGTCTTGAAATGGCGAGGGGAGCTGATCTGAGAGCACAAATGTGAAGTGGGGCTCTCAATGGTTAAGTACAGGAGTTGAGGGGCGCTAATTCGCAAAATATGGTGATTTTAGGTCATTTTTAACTACTTGACCGTGATTTTTTTTTGGGGGGGGGAAAACTGGGGGAGGGGGAGCGAGTAATTTTTGGGGGGAGCGTGTGCTGCCCGCACACCCATGTAGATACACCACTGCTTATATTTCAATTTGCAAACAATTCATTTGTCCAAAATGAGAATGTTACTTAATTAACTTCATTATGGTTCAAACTGTTAAACATTATGAACTCCAGAATATCAAAAGGCAGTGATTACTGTATAAGAAATCCATGCATAACACTGCTTGTCTATTTTGAACGGCTGGCTCTTTTGTTTTCATCATAAATAAAGTGCAGATAGTTGATGTATGTCTTATAGAAACCAGTGAACAACCTCTACTCCAGTACTTTTCCCAATGGTTAAAGCATCCTGGCAACTTTCCATCACTGGAGTTCAGTGACCTCTTCAATCACTAGAGTTCAGTGACCTCTTCTGCACTGACAGTACCAATGATCACTCATAGCTTCCATCATCGTTATCTCTAACCAAACAGAATGAAGCCTCTGACCAGAGAGTATGAGTGACCTCTGACCATATAGTTAATGATATCTGACCAAATATTGTCAGTGACCTCAGATAAGATAATACCAGTGACCTCTGACCAGACAGTATTAATGATCGCTGACCAGTTCACTACTACAAGCCATCTGTCTGGAGAGTATCCATAATGGCTGGTGGTTAACTCCAGAAGCATTTTTTAGTGAAAGCTGTAAAAACTCTGTCGGAAGGTAAACACTGGTATTTGTCTCAACCACCACGATCGCAGGACGATATCAAGATCAAGGCTACCAAGATTACTGACTGCTGGTCTACTGTATCAGTAGAATTGTGATCCATCAGTGACCTGTGATCCACTAGTGACATCTGATCCACCAGTGACATCTGATCCACCAGTGACATCTGATCCATCAGTGATTTCTGACCAGATAACCAGTGGTCAGGTCTGATGCCACATTGTCAGTCTCTCTCTTGCTTAGTTTTTTTCTTAAGCTTTCTAGTTCTTTCATATCTTAATGTCTCATTTTCAAGCGATGCTATCTCAGATATTCTTTGTTGAAATGCAGGCGTTGCTCCTGACACAGCATCAGTGTATACATACTTAGGTTCTGTAAAGACAATAATGTTGATCATACAAATATGGTCATTTATAACATTTTTTTGTCTTTTAATAATTATTCATTTTCAGGTTGCTTCAGTGACCAACATTCTATGTGGACTGTTCTTACAAAAATACAATAAGTTTTTTGCAATATGCCTACTTATTGTTTTAACAATGTAAGTCATTGATTGTAACAAAGGCCTTACGTTTTGTTCGTTCCCGCCCAAGTGGGAGTGTCATCGTTCCTTTAGACTTCGTCTGAGATATCCGAATGTCCTTACTTATCTGTTGCTGTTTTCGACTAGAAGCAGATGGTGGAGTAGATATCGCTAATGCACCCATAGCTAGTAAGTTATCATTATTCAAATTTGTAAGTGTAGGATTTGTAGATGGGTGGTGGTCTCTTGTAAAGAAAGTTCCCCTTGCAGAAGGCCGAAACCCGTTACGCTTATGCACCTCCGAATTATTCATGTCATCCCCTAGAACTGAAGCCAACAATAAATAAGTGTTCACACAATAATACTTTAATAATACTTTAATGGTAATAATATAATTCACTAAGAAGTCTTCAAGCATTCAGAAATAGTAATGACAATAGAAAGTACTCAAACCTGAGTAAAAGTAACAATTAGAAAGATAAAGTTATATTTCCTTTATAAAATAGTATTTTATTTTTTTATACAACAACTAGTGACTTGCAACTTATAAAATAGAAGCAATGCTCTATAAACTACAGTCTCATTAACAATTAATGACGTACTACTACTAGTACCAGTTTGATAGGCTGCATCATGCCACCAAGCGGCCTCCAAATTGTGAGGCTTAGGTGAGTAGAGTAGTTTTTTATTAGTCATGAAAAAAAAACCATGGAATATTTGAGCCCAGGATCGTTCAATGGCCAGCATCTTAGCCACCACCAAACTACCTGCTCCAATCCAAGTTCTCTTACTATGAACAAGCTGTTGAGAGTGAAGAGGAAGAGGGAGAGGGTAACATTCCTGTAGGATTCCAGGCCCGTAGCATGAATTAAAATTTGTGGGAATTTCGTTTTAATGAAAAGTAGACCCTTTGGCTTGCATGATCTCCGATACTTTAGAAAACAAGTTGTAAATATATCTACGAACATCAATTTCTTTGTTTTTAAATGCAGACCTTCTCCAGTTTTTGGGCAGTTCATCGTAACCCCCTTAACCACTCCCCCCCCACGCTACGGGCCTGGGATTCCACAGCTTAATGTCCCATCCAAAAGATGCCTTGGTTTAATAAAATATCTAACCCCATGCAGGAGGAAAATCAACTCCTTTTTCCCAATACTGCACTAAATTTTGGTTTTATTACACCATAGAATTTATGTACAGTACATGACAACAACTGTTTAATGTAGCAGTTGCGACACCCGATCGCAATTCCCAATTTTGTGTGAAAGCTCACCAATAGTAATCGATCTTAATTTTTACCCATTGCCATTGGGTGCTACAATCTTTATTACTCCGGATTATCGCGGTATCCGATTGCAACAAATTCCACATGCACTGATTGGCTGAGCTCAGTCAACATACTGTAGGTAATTCCTGTTGTCAAATTTTAGACAGTTCTATGCCCCAAATTCAAAGTATTATAGGATACCAACTATGCAATAGCCTGGCAACTATGTACATATCGACAAAAACAGAACAAAGATGCTTTATCTAAAGAACATTTAACATATTTAACACAGCCATCAAGGCCATAGCTTAGATCACTTTAACAGTTTAAACGGGTGCATTAACCTAAATCCTGAAAATAATTGTATGATACGAGACTGGTTCTATTTAGGAAATCGTCAAGAAATTAGATTAACATGAACTCCAAGTTGTCCCAACCATAAAGTACTGCAGTAACTCCAACTGACAACACAAGTATTGTTTTTTTTTTAACTGAAGTTGCTTTCAACTTCAAACCTTAATTATTTATCTGACACCACAAAGCTGACCTGAACCAGTTAAAATGGCACTGTTCAATTTCTGATTTGGTTTGTGTATTTATTGTATTTCTTTAACTAATTCATTAATTATTGTAGTTGAAACGATGTACTGTATATGTTTATAATGTATTTACCTATGACGACAGTGGTGAATTTAGCTTACTGGGCCATTCCTTTAATCCTGATAATGAATATTGTGGTTAAGGAAAACTTTACCCTACTTGAAAATGGCCTATTTTGAAATATTTTTTCAATGTAATTAAATCAAAGAAATGTCCTTTTATTTGATACTTAATTCTACAAGATGGTTCACTCATTTAAAAAACACACTTTTAATTACAGTAGTACACAGTAATTGTAATCATACTATTTGTTGTAAAGCACATACTCTTAAAGAGGTTTGATGCAATCTAAAAGTGAAAACAGTACTAATAATTTAAAACAACAAAAACACTAGGGGCCTACAGTTAACCTTGCCAAAGTTTACTTTGCCTAATAACTTAAATAATCTCTAAGTTAATATTATTTACAAGCCAAATTTTTGTGTTTTCAATTAATCAACGATCTGTAAGTCAAACAATTTTTCAATGCCATTTCGGATTCGACTTAGTCAAGTTCAACTGTAATAACAATCTTAAATTCAATAATAATAATAATAATAATAATAATAATAATAATAATAATAATAACAATAAAATATTAATTTGCTGTTTAGAATTTTACATTCTTGGGACAAGTTATGATAATTATAATGCTTTCTTGGCATAACACACTATATTTTTTGTTAAATTTATTATGATTCTAATAGTTTAATTAAAGCTGAATAAAAAAAAACAAAAACATGTTTTTGCACAGATGCAATAAACAAATTAATTTCCCAGCAATGATTCATCGTCTATTATGTGTATAAAGCTACGGCTTGTTGGTTAAAGCACTTGACTTGTGAACCCAAGGTTGATTAAAGCCTGCAATTTAAAGCATTAGTTTTCGTTCCCTAAGCACTGCCAACCAAACACTCTAGCGTAACCCAGCAGTCTTCACAACATTTAAACATCTGGAAATGATAACGAACTAAAGTGGCAAAAAACTAATGAAGTATTGTAATTGTACCGACTTCAATCCCGGTGTTTCTTACGATAGTCAGGGGCAGAAATCTACTAATCATTTCTTGTTACTGTAGATGCTGTGTAATTTTAATTGCTCGCGGGAATCTCCTGGAAATCGGCCTCACATACTACCGCGAGCAAGCAAGAACCTCCTGGAAAATAACCAATCTCCCGAAAATTTATATTTGCATTTTTTCACTGTTTAAATTAATTTCCTTGCGGAAGTCAGTGCCGATAGGTATCACTATGTGCAACAAAATGACATTAGATGTGTTAAAATAGCTGATTTTAACGAGATTTTCCGGAAGTGACTTCAATGAAGCCCAGTAGGCCTACTCTATAATTTGTGACCCATGCTCTAACAGTAACCCATCTTGATAGTTAATAATAATCACTAATCTAATACTAACCAGTGGTGTTAAAATCGGAATACGAAGTTCTAGTGAAGAGAATTTCCAATAGTCGAAGATGACGACAACAACATTGTTTAAATACATAAAACTACAATGAATTCTCAAACAGAATGCATACAGTATGTTTGCATAGGCCTACTATATGCATTCATGTTGTTTGATTTGTGCTTACAAATGCATGTACTTGCTTACCTATCGTGGCATTATACAACATCAGGATATTCATTGTTACTGAAATTCAAAAAAATTAAAATTTTCACGAGAACATTTTCTAGAGAGGGCAGTGTTCAAGATATTTATTTATTTCACTGATGTTCTTTGTCAGCAGAAATTGGCACAACTCAAGATCATCCCATGTTGCTGGGCCAATATAAGTGGCAGGGATGGAGTTATGGTAGGTAGAAGTGGGTGGGGCCACCTAGTCTAGCTAATTTCATGGCCCTTTATCTAAATATATTAATCCCCTTGCCCATCCATTTATTATTTAGAGTTCACTAACATCACCACTTACCCACCATTAAATGTCTACCAGGCCACCCACATTTATTTTTCTACAGCTGAAATGATGATCACTTTTATTTTATTCATTTTTTTTTTCAAATACTGAAATCATTGGCTCCTGGGGCTGACTTTACCCACTGCGTTGAGCATCACAAAGACACTTCTGCCATGCATTTTAAAATTTCAAGTACTTACTTTTAAAAACTGTGAATAAAACAAATTCCTACATGTAGAAGGTTTACTGAATTGTCTTGTGATGCTTATGTCATTAACATATTACAAGTTTCACTTTGTGAACATTGATTGTTAATCCAAATGATGATTGTCAGAATCTTTAATGACCCTGATTTACAAGTAAAAGAGGAAGTACTGACAGGAAAACAAGAGTTTTGTTTACAATTTAAGACAGTTGCGATGGTTTTGAATATTGTTTGAGTTTCAGAACCTTTATAATACAGAAAAATACAGAACAATTCAGTGTACATCCGACCATTGTATAAAACAAAACAGGCAACTAAATGATATCCTTGAGATTGAAATTATTGAATAAACAGTATCTTAATAAATAATTCCCACCCACTAAACACATTTTTTTTTTTTTGGCTACCCACCCTCAGGTTAAAGGTTAAAATTACAAACCTGTAAAACAAATAGATCTCAACTCATTCATACCACTATCCATTAGAATTAATCAAAATAATATCAAATTTGTCTTAGGATCTAATTAAATTTTTGTTCTTTGTTTTTTTTTTTTCTTAATTTTTTTTTTTTTTTTGGAAATGTCATGTACCAACTGATTATGTGAAAGGATACTAAATAAAGAAACCTTGAATCTAGAATGGTGTTGGTCAATTACTAAGGTGTTTAGGCTTGCTTACACAATGATGATAACGATCAATGATAAAAAGCTAAAAAACCAATTTTTTATATAGCAAATAAAAGAAAAAAGAAGTTTACACTAGCACAATTCCATAACAATTTATCGTGTATACGATAAAGAAATAATTTCACAAATCAAATGACATCATAATCATGGAAAAAAGATAAAATCTTATTAGTAAAAATCATTTTATCATTTTCCCATGATTGCTAGTGTAAAAACTTCTCTAATAATACTTTTATTTTCTATATGATTGAACAATTGCTTTTTACCGTTAAGACCACTATCGTCATAGCGTAAACAGGCCTTTACAAGATATAACCTAAGTATAGCTTAAACATTTTACTATGCTGTATTTATAATTACCATTCAATTTACTCCAAAAAAATTTAAAAAAAATAATAATTAAACTTAATTGATACAAATAGAGAAAATTAAGAATAATTTTAATGTAGATTTGAATATTCTTTTTTAAAATTAATGTTTGTGATTTTGTAATGGCTGGTTGGGATATGCCTTGGAAAGTGATTAGGCTCGCCTGTTAGAGTCCCTATGCCAGCATGTGTGACATTTTAGTTTGTATTGTTGAATCCTTTTGCATGTTTGTTGTGAATGTGGAATAAATTGAATTGAATATGACTGATTGATTGGTACCTCTCAGTCATGACTGACAGTTTATGACGTCTGTGATGACGCGCCACCTATGTCGGTTGTCAGCTATTTTGTACACCTTTGGTAGAAGTTGCCCAACTAAAGATTTAACCTGGTCAATCTACCTATAGCTTAAAAGAAATTAACAGAAAGGGTGTGTAACAAATGATGGTAATAAAGAAATGTTTAATGAATATTTTGAAATAATATTATGGAGTATGGTACACTGGAATAGAAAAAAATAACAAATTAAAACAAAAATCCTTATCTGTCCTATTCAAATTAAAATTAAAAGTCAAAGAAGTATTTAATGAGCAAGTAGTATTATATCAACTACAATAAAATAAAAATAAATAAATAAAAAAAAAATCCTTATCTCTCCTACTGTATTTCATATTGAAATTAGAAATTTTAAACTTTGGTTTGGCCCTTGGGGACCTGTGACATTGAAATTAAAAGTCAAAAAAGTATTTAATGAACAATTTGAAATAATACTACGAAGTAGTATTATATCAACTAAAATAAAAAAAAATATAAATAAATAAATAAAAATCCTTATCTCTCCTATTGAAATTGAAATTAGAAATACTAAACTTTGGTTTGGCCCTTGGGGACCTGTGACAGCCACAAAGCACGCCAGTAAAAACATTTAGCCAGTACCAACATTTAGCGGACTGTACATTATCCCGCCTAATTCCCACGTGAGCGTTAATGTCATGCCATTTAACTGTATAAAAATCGATCTCGTAAACAGAAAACATTTTGTTAGTTTCATTTCCTGGTTCAAATGGATCTCAATTTTTATATCTTCTGATTAATAGATTTGAAATGTTGTTGATTATTTTTTTCATTTGTAATGCACTGATCAAATTTATTTAAAATATGTGATGGCTAAATATGGTCATGACATCATATAATGACCATGTAACATAGGCACATCATGACTATATATGGGCATACAACATTTTTTTGTCAAATGACATTTGACAATATGGATTTAAAGCTTTAAAACTTATTATCACACTTCACTTTGTCGCCTTGGTGTATCAGCCTTATCGGGCCGTTTCAGTAGAAATGAGAAGTTTAACTTCTGTACTGTTATTACCGAGTGGTTCATAGCACCAGAAGTAAATTATGTTTATTAATATGCTTATTAATATGTTTAAATAATGATAAATATGTATATTTATCACCAATTAGTTTGTTTAAGTGCCCTGTGTTACCAATCAACTTAGGAAGATAACCCACATAAAAGATAACAAATGATTGTCCAATTTATTGGACAATTAGACAATTGTATGTCAAAAAAAAACTTGTGATTTGTGCCCATCATCATGCCCATACTGAAAAAATCACAAACATTTTTCACCTAAAAACCTGACAGAACTTAAAGGCAATAAATGTGACGATGTGCTGGATGGAGATGATACGCACAAAAAGTAATCTACAGTATGGTAACAAAACAAGAGAGACAGAACAGATGAACTTGGAGATAGCAATGTACTATGGAAATAGAGTGCATAGGACATAAGTGAGACAAGAAGAGGCCTCCATCCTATATACTTATGATGCCAAAAATCTAATTGAAGAACTCACTGAAACATCTTGACAAAGAGAAACTCACAATTGATCGTGGTTAACAATTTTTATAAATGATCACTTACAAAATGCGTTAACACATTCACAGCCAGACCTTTTTTTTGGTTTCTTCCCAGGATGTGCCAAAACAATGCATGTACAAACATACTTTAAAAAAATTTTATTTAGACATATCATCAAAATGGTGGGTTTAATAAATTGGGGGGAAAATATTAGGGACGCGTAAACTCATCACCGGCAATGGGACAGTACTTTTTTATTGCCTCTGCCTAGTACGAGTTTTCTCGTCCACTCTTTGCATAGGTTGGTATGTTAAGAGAGTGCCCCCAGTCATGCAATTTATTGTGCAGTACTGCTGGCAACAAAGCACAACATACGTTATTTGTACGTTATCGTTTAATTGTATCACTTCCCCGAACTACCAGCCGTCAAGTCTGTGGTTCTACAATAACGATGAAGTAATAAACGCCAGAATGTTACCCTAATTTTGGTGAGTATAGTCGTCCCTAGTACCCTCGGCAACACTGTGGGACAAGTATACTCGTCGCTGGCAGCGAACGTGTTAAACTTGATTCTGAGGGCAGCAAATGCCATGCATGTAATCTTAAAGATGTTTACGATGACTTTTATGCCAAGCAAAGTTTAATTATGATGTCCGAATTGCTAAATGAAAAACATGAATGCTTCATATTTCTTAGTCTAAAAATTATTATTATTAAAGGGAAGTGGTCTGGTTGGTTTCCAAATGGATAAATTTCAGCATGCTATTAGTATATTTTAATGGACCTTAGAAAGGAATCAACAGATCATTAGAATGAGTAAATTGGTGGCATGGAAATAAAATGCTTACATTTTGGCACCGATGTTTTTCCGCTTGTTAATTACTAGTACTTTTGTAAGAATTTTTTGGAAGGTTGGTTTATACCATAAATGGTATGAGATGGAAGAAGGCTGATGTAAAGTTAAGAATATATGAATTTAGCAGTGGCGGATACAGGAAACAGAGGGGGCCCAGGGAGAGAATTTCACAGATGGATACTGTAGTCTGTACCACCTCAGCCCCACCATGATTGGGGCAGAGGTAAAAAAAAAGTTACAATTATGGCACCTGTAGATGGCTGGAAATTGCACTCTCAGACCTAAATTTGATTAATATTTTTCTTTTTTTTCTCAATTTTTTTTCTCTCCCTCCCCACCACCTTGAATCCACCACTGATTAGATAGAATGGAAACTGTTACAGTTGAAATGCATACAAAGAGCTTAAAATAAGGGACAATACTCTAAGAAAGTAATGATTATGTATGGGCAGCTGGCCAACGTAGAGCATTAACTACCTGTACACTCCTTGTTGCCTGTATAGCTGAGGCAACTAGTCGCTTTCTCTATCGGCGACTCTGGTGGTGCCACAGGCCTAAGTAGTTTCAGTCTCGAGACTAGTTGAAAACAAGAAAAGCAAAACAATCGCAATTTATGAAAATGAAAAGAACAGTTCTTTGAAGTACAGCATATAACTTCATTAGGAAAACAAGGAAGTAAGGTCTAAAAAATATAATAATGTCGTCGAGGTCATTGTCGCTTAAGTTTTGATTAGGACTACAATCACAGGAATCAATACAGTTTCAATGATCTTTACCTATCTGACTGACTATAAAAAATGATAGAAACTGAATTACTTTTACAATAAAAAAACCCCCAAAAAACAGAGGGCAGTGTTGCTAAATACCACCATTGGGAAGAATTAGGAATTCAACAAAAAAAAATGACCTGTAGGGGGCAGTATAGAATAGAACTTTGTGTAAAACATGCAAACCATGGCAAGTTATATCTACCTATTTCCATTGACAATCTTAAAGTGACAATAATGATATTTTTTTTTACATACTTTTTGTTTCAAATTTTGCCACACCAAGGCTTTCTGTGTTGGTCCGTCGATCCCGTTCTCTTTCCAGTTTGCGCTCAAGATTCTGAAGATCGTCACTGATGGCGCGCACAGCATCCACCTGGGAACTGCTTGTGAGTGGTGTTGCGGTTGTTGGTATTTCCTGGTGGCTGTACGGAGAATTAGCAGAGCTATGAATATGATAGAGAAGCAATGAGTCTAACACCAAGATTAAGTAAAAGAATATATTGAAAATAAAAAAATGAAACGAAAGTTATCTAATGTTTTTAATTACTATTTAAAAAAAGGTGGATTGATTCTGCAAAGCTGATATGTTTTAAAATGACTATAGTGTATATTATTTTGGGACAGATTTGAGCCTAAAATATGCTAAGTGGTTTATCTGAACCTGTTCGCTACTGTGCAACCTCCAAGGTATGGGTACTGTATCTAGCACAGGGCGCAAAAAAGAACCGTGGCTTAAACACTTGCAAATATTAAAAACAATCAACTCTTATCTCACAGTGGCTAGTACAATTATGGTACAATACACCAGAATTAATGCATTACAACTTTCAATTCAACATCTGCTGAGTAATTTCATGACCAACCATTAATATTCATTTTATGCTAATTAGCTCACTTAGGTAAATTACATTTGGAAAAATTAGGACTACAGTAAATACAATCTTTTTTTATTAGCCATTTGACCTGGTTTCTCCACACACTTTTTACTTTACTCTATTGTTTATTGTTCTATTCACAGTTGTAGTGCATTAATTATGTGCTTTTTAACAAATTAAGTGCATCACAGTAAATTACAAACAACTCATTAATTATCATCCAATACATTTTACGATTAGCATTGTTATAGCACTTCAAAATAAAGAAGCTTAAAGCCCCATTCCCGGCAAAATTTCAATTTTTAAGAAAAATCTAATTTTTGTATAATGTTATAAAGATTTATAAATATAATACGGAATTGCTAGTTTAACTGAATTTAGACATTCCTAAGAATGAAAAAAATGTAAAATAAGACTGAAATTTGATTTTTTGTGTTCCACACAAAAAATAAATGCGGATGAATTTTTCATGTTTTTTCATTTTGCGATAGGTCGTGAGAAGAAATATCGTAGGCGCCGAAAACATTAGCCTATCCAACGCCTGTCTCTTATAC